TACTGCTACTACTACTACTACTGCTGCATTATACTGGAACGACCCGTACTGCTAAGACGGCGATCGCGACGATTATTACTACGGTGGCGGGTGCTGCTACTACTACTACTACTATTACTTTACTTTTACTTTAACTTCTACTTTTGCTACTACTACTACTACTACTACTACTACTATTACTGCTACTTCTACGACTACTACTACTACTACAGCTACTACTACTACTACTACTACTACGACTACTACTACTACTTCTAACGGTACTAGTACCACCGACTACCATCTGCGACCACCACTTTACTAAGACCAACGATTACTCCGACCCTTCCCAAGTCTACTACTATCGTTATTATTACGACTACTCCTACGACTACTACCTCTAATAGTAGTAGTAGTAGTAGTAGTAGTAGTAGTAGTGGTACCTGTAGTAGTTGTAGTAGTAGTAGTAGTAGTAGTAGTAGTAGTAGTAGTAGTAGTAGTAATAGTAGTAGTACTAGTAGGTAGTAGTAGTAGTAGTAGTAGTAGTAGTAATAGTAGTAGTAGTAGTAGTAGTGGTGGTAGTAGTGGTGGTAGTAGTAGTAGTCTTACTGTTACTAGTAGTACTGCATCTACTACCCTTGCTACGGCTACGACGACTAGTATTATTACTACTGTCAGTAATACAACTACTACAACAACCCATACGACTATCACAAGCGTGCAACCAATCCGATTACATTCTTACAACACAGACATCTATTTCTTTCCTACGTCTATTCGCACGACACGGCTGCGACTATGAGGGTTACAGCGACGGCGAATTCGACGACTACTACTGCTGCTAGAACTGCAACTGCTACTACGACGACGACGAACACGACGACAACGATTACTAATACTACTACTACTACTACTACTACTACTACTACTCCGAGTACTACTACTACCACAAGCAATATTACTACTACTACTACTACTACTACGACTACTACTACGACTACTACTACTACTAATAATAATAACAATGTACTACTACTACTACTACTACTACTATGACTGCATATTCTACTGCTACTACTACTACTACTACGACGACTACTACTACTACTTCTACAACTACAACTACTACTACTACTACTACTACTACTGCGACGACGACCACCACTACTACCACAACTCATACTACGACTACTACTACTACTACTACTACTACTACTACTACTACTACTACTGTTACTGTTACTACTATTATTACTACTACTACTACTACTACTGCTACTACTACTACTACTACTACTACTACTACTACTACTATTACTACTGATACTACTACTACTACTACTAATACTACTACTACTACTGCTACTACTACTACTACTACTACTACTACTACTACTACTCCTACTCCTACTACTACTACTACTACTACTACTGCTGCCACTACTGCTGCTGCTGCTGCTGCTGCTGCTGCTGCTGCAACAAATACGGCTCTTACACTTTCTATCACGGCTTATACGGCGTAGCATTACGGCTACGGTTACTTACTATTGGATTGAAGCAAGGATTTGGTGACGAGTGGGCACATCGTAAAATCTTCTCTCTGGGTAGTTGCGGGACGGGCTCCATGTGTGCCGCTAGCTGCGGCGCTCAGGCCGTTGCGGGTTCTGTCGATTGTCGCTTATGGGGGTTTGACTGCGGAGGCGGGGGGGCGCCGCGTTTCCCACCCAGCACCACTGGGGCTTCTACTGATATTGTTTTCAATGCTGCCGCTTGATGTGGTCGTCCAGCTCGTTCCAGCCGTCGACCATGTGGCCCGCTGTTGCCGATGGAATGGACAGAGGTCGCCCGGCACCTTCGCAGGGCCGTTCAGCGCAATTGGGTATGGTTTGCGCGTCGCGGGGGACGCGCCGCCCTTGGCGATGTCGACGGCGCGCTGGCAGTCAGCGCGCAGCGTGATGAGAGGGAACTCGCGCTCCCATGCGAGGCCCGGTCCCCGACGCAGCTGCGGCAGCCATAGCACTGCGGCCATCCCCGCGCAGAGCTCGGCGGCGAGCGAGAGCTAGCCGACCGCGAAACTGGTCGGCTAGCTCTGGCATCGCCTGTCCCAGTTAATTGGCCGATCACGGAGTGGGCCGCCCCCTGCGAGTCTCCGCTGATCGCGATGGGCGCCCAGGGGGGCGGGCCCGCCGTGCCCCCTTTGGCGGGGCTTCCCGAGCCGTCGCTGTAGATGTCGACCGCGCGTGCAGCTGCGGCATCCGAGGGAACTTGCCCTCCGCGGCGTCGGCGCCGCGACGGTGGAGGGGCGAATTCATGGCTCCACCTCGGCGCCGAATTCTTCGAGCTTGGATGGCCAGGCGGCGCGCGACGCATCCAGCGCGCGCCTGCCGTCTGGCAGCGGGGGCATCCTGGCGGCCCTCTGGTCGTGAAGATACTGTGCTTGAGCGGGAACTGTGGGAAGGGGCCCCTCTCTCCTCGTCGCTGACGAGAACCAAGGGAGGCGCGGAGAGTCCCCGCGACCTTCATTCGGCCATGGCGTCCAATGTTCCCGCTTCGGTCGATATGGCTGCCGATGCCGCTGCTGGGGTCGCCCTGCTGAAGTCAGAGCCTCCGGATGATTCGATCAGCTTGATGGGCCTCGCCGAGCCATCTGGCCCATCCAGCTGCTTCATAACTGCGCCGTCGGCTGCCGCGCGCGGCTGCTGCTGGCGCTGCTGCGCTCAAAACGCGTTGGCGAATGCCTGCTTGTAGGCCTCCTTGGCCTCGGCCTCCTGCTTCGCCCTCTCCTCGGCGGCCGCCTCCGTCTTGGCGAGCTTCTGCGCATCCCACTCGGGGCTGCCCCTGGCGCGTCCCTTGCTCCCCCCCCTGCCGTAACGCCAGCGACTGCTGCTGCGACTTCTGTGGAGGCGTTGGCGGCGCGCTGCTGCTGGATGGGGCGCTGTGAGGGCGCTTATCTGGGCAGCCAGCCGTGTCGTCTGGGCCTCCATCGCGGAGGTGCGCCCTTGCTTCTTGGCGAAGGCGGCGTGCGATGTCCCCAGGGTGGCCACGACATGCTCGCCTGGAAGCAGCTCGCCCGGCACGGCATCGCGCATCTCGTTGCAGTAGTCGTAGGGGTCGTCGGCCGCTTCGATGTCGCCCATGCTGCTGACATCCACAAAGTCGTCGCTGGCGTCCGCCCGTGCTGCTGCCCATGATCCCCATGAGCCTGCCTGCCCTGGCCGCTCTGGCGATGTCGATACAAGACGGGACGGGTACGTGCAAAACTCGGACATCTGCTGCACCTGCGCCAGGAACTTTTGGGCGTGCCAAAGGTCTGAGGTTGCCTTCGTCAAATCCGCTTCTGCTGCTTTCAATTTCATCTGCGCTGCCAGTTCGGCGTCGCGCGCCACGGTGACCGTCTTCTTGGCCTTGTTCACGACAGCCTCCTGGCGCTCTTGAACTCATGGTCTTTGGCCACTGTGAACTGGCAGTGGGTCGCTGCATATTCCCTGTCGGCGTTGTGCAAGCGGCCCGCGTCCTGGTCGGTCAAACACCCGCCTTCCGCAGAGACTCTGTGAAGTGCTTGAGCCGAGCGGCCATCGGAGGCGGGTGCACCCAGGCTGGGTGTTGCTTGGCCTCATCTGAAAGCATCGGCAGGATCCCCATGAGGCCCTTCTCGAGATTCTCCTGCTCTTCGGCACCTCGGTCTGGCGCACCCCGGTCACGACGAGAGTGGCTCGGTGCTCTGTCGTGTCAAGTGTGATGACACTTGTCATCTCCAGATGCCCTGCAGGTGTAGTTCTTCATGCTGCAGCATGCTTTCTTGCAGGTCCAGTCCGCAATGCTTTCGCTTGTATGCGGAGCAGACGGCTGGCGGCGAGATTTGCCGCTTTGTCCCTGGGTCATGGCGGCTGGCCCACTGCTACGATGACGAGCCAGTGGTCTGGCTGCAGCGCCAAGTCGTAGCAGAACGCGAGCCGCAGCTCGCTTCCGCCTGCGGCGCCTGTGCCAGGCGTGACCGGGAGCGAGGGAGGTTCGGAAACCCGCGCCGCCCGTGGGCGCGCGCGCTCTTGCGGTCGTCGCTGCACTTGTTGCAGCACCCAGATCGACACGCTTCGAGCTGTCGCGGCGGCTGAGCTGGAGGGAATGACGGGGAGGGGAGGGGAAGGGAGGCGGGGAGAGGGAGGAGGGGCGAGAGCATCGGAGGGGAGGCGAGGCGAGGCGATGCGAGCCGAGGGGGGGGGAGGCCAATCGGGGGAGGCCAGGGAAGGCGAGGGCACCGCCTCAGTACTGGCTGCACGACCTTCTCCTCCTCCTCCTCCTCCTCCTCCTCCTCCTCCTCCTCCTCCTCCTCCTCCTCCTCCTCCTCCTCCTCCTCCTCCAGGGTGACCCCCCGGGGGCAAGAGAGCGGCATCTGGTGAGCAGCCCGTCGACCGCCCGCGTGCGGCGCGGCGGCGGCGGCGGCCTGCGTGCTCGGGTCGGGCCCCCCCCCCTCGCCCCTCGAAGTGTCCATCCCTCCCTCCCCTCCCCTCCCTCCCCTCCCATCCATCCCCTCCCTCCTCCCCTCCTCCTCCTCCTCCTCCTCCTCCTCCTCCTCCTCCCCCTCCTCCTCCCCCTCCTCCTCCTCCTCCTCCTCCTCCTCCTCCTCCTCCTCCTCAGCCGAACGTGTGATCAAGAAGCAGCGTGCTTGAGAAACCGGGCCAGCTTCCCGGCCAATTGGAAAAGGAACGCTTGCCCACCTCCTCGGGGGGATTCTCATACTCTCGACCGTAGAACGAATACACAGCTGCGTAACTATAAGCCTTCGGAGGTCCGCGCCGATTTCTTGGATCGACGCTGACCGTCAACCCCCCTCCCTGGCGCGCGGAGCGCGCCAGGGGCGACGCAGGAGGCGGGGTCAGGGATCCCTCGCGAGTCCAAGAATGCGCACGGACCTTCAGACAAATTCGTTTCATGTTTTACCCCGAATGCAGCGCACCAGAGGTCATTCCGGCAATGGGCCACTCTTGCGTGTGGCCGACACCACCCTCCCCTGCATCTCCGTCCTGCCCAAGCGCACCGACGTCATCGGCATCTTGGGCGACCTGGCGGCAAGCCAACCGGTCGCCGACCCACCCGCCCATCCACCCAGGCTGGGTGACGTTCCAAGAAATGCCATCGCTGAGGGTCTGTAATGTCTGGAACTACATACGGGTCAACCTTACTTTCTTCAAGGGTCGCATGAACCACTAGGCTATTGTTTGGAGTCCCGAAACGAAGCGGTGACACACCGTGCGGTGACCTCGAAATCTTCCAAGACCTCACCGCACGGTCCGTCACCGCACGGTCTTGGGACCCCGGAGGCCCCTGTCGCCCGAAACATCCTCGGAGAACGACCCGAGTCCCATAACCGTGCGGTGACCCCGAATCCCCACCGACTCACCGCACGGTGTGGTCACCACCCCGTTTGGGGGCCTCCGATATTGACAACCGCGATCCGCGTGAGGGCCGCATCGATGAAGACCGGTGCAAGCTGCGTTGCTGGCGTCCCGCGTCCGCCCTGGATGTTCGATGCTGGGCTCTCCAGGCTCGGATCGGCTGCGTGCACGAGCGACCCTGGGCAAGAGTGACCTTTGGTGCGCGGCTGCACAGTCGAGGTACTATCAGAAGGAACGCTAAATGAGGAACGAAGCCCTTCTTGGCCCCAGAAGCGCCTGGGTGCACGAGGAGTGATGGAGGACGAGCCATGGAAGAGCTTAAGGAACAGCGGACCCCTTCCGCACCCGAGGCGTTCCTTATTTCAGCGCCTTGGCTGTAGGGTGGGGCGCGGGGGTGCCAGACCCCAGCGCGCAAGCTGCTGCCGTCGCTCATTTCTCGGCGACCGGGGGGCGCTACCGGCCAGCACCAGAGGCCACTCTGGCAAAGGGTCATTCGTACTCGGGGGCGGCCAAGAGGGGGGCGTCCAAGAGGGGGGGGCGCAAATCATGGCCGGCGGCATGTGCGCGGCCCAGGGGGGGGGGGGGCGAGGACGTATTGAAATAAGAAGAGGCGCCATGAAATCTTTGGAGATGTCATGGCACCCGCCATGATACCCGCCCCCTCCTAGTCATCAACCCCCTCTTTGCCGCCCCCGACTGATGTGTCGTCGATAGGGGCTCTGGGCTCTGGGCTTCGGGCTCCAGATGCGCGAGCGATACCAGGCTCTAAGTCGCCCGGCCCGTGCGTCGGGGTCTGCCCGCCCGACCCGCCCGTCCGGGTCCGTCCGCCCGACCTGGCCGTACTGCCCGATCGTTGGGGTCTTCGTCGTCGTCGTCGTCGTCGTCGTCGTCGTCGTCGTTGTCAACGTCGCTCTCGTCGGCGTCACCCTCGGTGAATGTTCAGTTGGATGGGTTGCACGCTATGAATGCCTGGCCCGACCCGCCCGCTAGGGCCCGCCCACGAGGGCCCACCCGCCCGACCCGCCCGTTAGGACCGTCGTCGCCCTCATCGTCGTCGTCGTTGTCGCCCTCGGCGTTGTCGTCCTCGTCGGCGCTGTCGTCGTCGTCGTCGTCGTCGTTCTCGTCGTCCTCGTCGTCCTCGTCGCCGCCCTCGTCGTCGTCGTCGTCGTCGTTGCCGCCGTCGTCGCTGTCGTCGTCGCCGTCTCGTCGTCGGCACTCGTGTCAACGACCGTGGGTCGAGGATGCACATGTTCCCATCGTGGCCGACGGACGCGATGCGGTTGGCATCCTGCCGGGAAGCTCTGCGGAGGCCCACCCCACATGCTTCTGAGCATGCGCGCTTTGGGGACATGAGCACAGCCGCATCTGGCATCATGGTCCTCCCTCTGCCCATGCCCACGCTCAAGTCCTCCCCTCCCTGAAGGTGCAGCAGGAGGAAGAGGAGGCGAAAAAGGGAATGGACATAATGAATGAATGACACGGAGGCCGACGAAGAAGGAGGAGAAGTGTCCAGGCGTGATCACACAGGCCTTCGTCGTAGCAGAAGCCACTTTCAGAGTCAAGCGCGGTGTCTCCGACTCGCCCGCGATTGCCCATCGTGTTCATGCGACACCGTTCGCCTCATCCTTCATCATTCTCCGCTTCCTCCCTCCCCTCCGCCTGATCTGCCGCCGACTCCACCTCCTCCTTCTCCTTCCCCGCACCAGGGTTCCAGTCGCCGAGGCGCTGATGGGCGCGTCCTTACTCGATACCCGAATAGCCAGATATGGAAGGATGGATCGGTGGGGGCAGTGGGCAGAGCACATGGTGTAGACAGAAACAGATAGAGCGTGGAACAACAATTACGCATGAAACGGCCCACACATACAAACAGTGCACACACAAAACAAACGGCAGCACAACGATTTGGATGCAGCTATGCAGTCATTAAACATATACGTGGTACATGCACATAAATATACACATACACATGTGTATGGACATATGCCAATTAGGCTGGGCATATGTATGTGTACACAACACATAGCGGTTAACGTGCATAACAGTCTGATTTCACACCAGCATGTACATACCTAGATGAAGCCACAAACATGCGTAAGTCTAGATCTACAGAACTATCATTATAACCGTACTCGCACGGCTGTCTGATCCATGCATCGAGGTGTGGTTGTTGACCTGTGCGTAAGCACGTGCAGGCAATTGCACATGTGTAGGTGAACGTTTGTGGACAGACATACACACATATTCCCGGATGAAGCATCGCGCAATCTGTCATGAGTGGCCACTCATACTATTAACGTGTATGGTTCGGGTGGGGAACGGTCTGTATATGTAGATATGGTGTGCATGCGCATGTAGGAATAAACGCATACGAAGGCATACGGGTCCACAGGCGTGCGTGCATACATGTATCTAGCCCTGGAGGCAGACATGCATGTTGATACACCTATACATATATAGAGACATACAATGTAATGTATTTGTATGTGTATGTATGTGTATATATATATATATATATGTATGGCCCCCCGACACTTCATCCTCTCATTTGTGTTCTTTCCGCACGTTTTCCTTTTTCTCATGTGCTTCATCCTGGTACTCTTTCTGATCCACATAAGGATACAATCGGAAAGGGTGAAGACAAAGGGTGAGGGAGGATCCGATTATAATTGAATGGGTTCAAATACGGTTTCTTTCGGAAAGGGCGAGGAGGAGAGGCAGGAAGGGGATTGACTAGACCCAACATCGAAATTCATTGGCGAGGAGATAGAAGGGGGGAGGATTCAATTGGATTTGAGTGAGATCCAAATAGGAGCTGAATGGAACAAACGGGAATGGAGAGGGTTGAGAGGGAGCACGAGACAAAATTCGATCAGGATTGAATGTCATCCAAATAAGAATTATGTAGGAAACGGCAAGGGGGAGAGGGAGGGAGGATTCCATTGGATTTGAATAGGATCCACATCGGAGCCTAAATTAGCCTGGCGAACGACCCAACCATATGCAGTTGTGAGTACCGCAATTAAGAATATCGTCTTCGGTGGCGCTCCCTATGGGGCCACGAAGCGCTGTACTGGGTGTGTGAAACGCAGGGAGCAAGGGCTGTGCTGGGTGGTGGCTGACGCGTGCGGGCGGTGCCAGTGGGACCTTCGGTAGAGCTCCCTATGAGGCCACGAAGCGCTGTAGTGGGTGGGTGAAACGCAGGGAGCAAGGGCTGTGCTGGGTGGTGGCTGACGCATTCGGGCGGTGCCACTGATACCTTCGGTGGAGCTCCCTGGGGCCACGGAGCGCAGCACTGGGTGGGTGAAACGCAGGGGGCAAGGGCTGTGCTGGGTGGTGGCGGACGCATGCGGGCGGTGCCACTGGGACCTTCGCTGGAGCCCCCTATGGGGCCACGAAACGCTGTACTGGGTGGGTGAAAGCAGGGAGCAAGGGCTGTGTTGGGTGGTGGCTGACGCATGCGGACGGTGCCAGTGGGACCTTCGGTGGAGCTCCCTATGGGGCCACGAAGCGCTGTACTGGGTGGGTGAAGCGCAGGGAGCACGGGCTGTGCTGGGCGGTGGCCGGCGCATGCGGGCGGTGCCAGTGGGACCTTCGGAGGAGCTCCCTACGGGGCCACGAAGCGGTGTACTGGGTGGGTGAGCCGCAGGGAGGAGGGGGAGGAGGGCCACGAAACGCTGCACTGGGGTGGGGGGGACGCATGCGGACGGTAGACCTGGAACCTTCGGTGGAGCTCCCTATGGGGCCACGAAGCGCTGCACTGGGTGGGTGAAACGCAGGGAGGAGGGGGAGAAGGGCCACGAAACGCTACTGGGTGGGGGGACGCATGCGACGGTAGACCTGGAACCTTCGGGTGAGCTCCCTATGGGGCCACGAAGCGGTGTACTGGGTGAAATGCAAGGAGGAGGGGGAGGAGGGCCACGAAACGCTGTACTGGGTGGGGGGGAGACGCATGCGGACGGTAGACCTGGAACCTTCGGTGGAGCTCCCTATGGGGCCACGAAGCGCTGTACTGGGTGGGTGAAACGCAAGGAGGGGGAGGAGGCCACGAAACGCTTTACTGGGTGGGGGGGACGCATGCGGACGGTAGACCTGGAACCTTCGGTGGAGCTCCCTATGGGGCCACGAAACGGTGTACTGGGTGGGTGAAACGCAGGGAGGAGGGGGAGGAGGGCCACGAAACGCTGTACTGGGTGGGGGGGACGCATGCGGACGGTAGACCTGGAACCTTCGGTGAAGCCCCCTATGGGGCCACGAAGCGGCTGCACTGGGTGGGTGAAACGCAGGGAGGAGGGAGAGGAGGGCCACGAAACGCTGTACTGGGTGGGGGGGGGCGCGCATGTGGACGGTGGAACTGGGGCCCCTCCCCCTCCTCCCTGCGTGTCACCCACCAGTACAGCGTTTCGGCCCCATAGGAGGAGCTCCGATACGGGGGGGGGGCGCATGCGGACGGTAGACTGGTTTCGGTGGAGTGGGCACGAAGAGTGTGAGGGGTGGCCGAAATGGTGGGGGGACGCATGTGGACGGTGGCACTGTGGCCTTCGGTGGAGCTCCCTATGGGGCCACGAAGCGTGTGAGGGGTGTGCCGAAATGGGTGTGGGGGACGCATGTAGACGGTAGCACTGGGGCCTTCGGTGGAGCTCCCTATTGGGCCACGAAGCGTGTGAGGGGTGTGCCGAAATGGGAGCGGGGGACGCATGTGGACGGTGGCACTGGGGCCTTCGGTGGAGCTCCCTATTGGGCCACGCAACGTGTGAGGGGTGTGCCGACATATGTGCGGGGGACGCATGTGGACGGTGGCACTGGGGCCTTCGGTGGAGCTCCCTATGGGGCCACGAAGCGCTGTACTGGGTGGGTGAAACGCAAGGAGGAGGAGGAGGAGGAGGAGGAGGAGGGGAGAAGGAGGAGGAGGAGGAGGAGGAGGGGAGGGAGGAGAGGAGAGGAGGAGGAGAGGAGAGAGGAGGAACGCGAGGAGGACGTCTCTTCAAAACGATGACCCAACAACACAGGTTGGTTGAGAGAAAAGGGAAAGGAACAAAGAAGGGAAAGGGAGAGGAGGAGGAAGGAGGAGGAGGAGGAGGAGGAGGGAGGAGGAGGAGGAGGAGGAGGAGGAGGAGGAGGAGGAGGAGGAGGAGGAGGAGGAGGAGGAGGAGGAGGAGGAGGAGGAGGAGAGGGAACATCACTCAATTGGATTTTAGTAATTATCCTGGCGAATGACCCGACCATATGCACTTGTGGGTACCGCAATTGTGAAAATCTTCTTCGGTGAAACTCCTTATGGGGCCACAAAGCGCTGCACTGGGTGGGGGGGAGCGCTGTTCTGGGTGAATGGTGTGTCAAGTAAGGTTTCCGGGACGCATGCGGACGGACCCACTGGGGGCTTCGGTGGAGCTCCCTATGGGGCCCCGAAACGCTTGGGTAAGTGAAAATGCCAAAATGGGCTTCCGGGACGCATGCGGACGGTCCCACGGGAGGCTTCGGTGGAGCTCCCTATGGGGCCACGGAGCGCTGTACTGGGTGGGTGAAAATGCCAAATTGGGCTTCGGGGGCGCATGCGGACGGTCCCACTGGGGGCTTCGGTGGAGCTCACTATTGCGCCAGGAAGCGCTGTGTTGTGTTGGTAAAAACGCTACGTTGGGTTGTCGGGACGCATGCGGACGGTGGCACTGGGGCCTTCGGTGGAGTTCCCTACGGGGCCATGAAATTTTGGACTGGGTAAGTGAAAATGCCACAAATGGGTGTTTCGGTCCCACGGGGGCCTTCGGTGGAGCTCCCTGTGGGGCCACGAAACGCTGCACTGGGTACGCATAGGGACGGTGGCACTGGGGCCTTCGGTGGAGCTCCCTATGGGGCCACGAAACGCTGTAATGGGTGTGTGAAAATGCCAAATTGGGTGTTTCAGGGCGCACTCGGACTGTCCCACTGGGGGCTTCGGTGGAGCTCCCTATGGGGCCACGCAACGCTGTACTGAGTGGGGGGGATGCATGTGAACGGTGGCACTGTGACCTTCGGTGGGGTTCCCTATGGGGCCACGAAGCGCTGTACTGAGTGGGGGGGACGCATGTGGACGGTGGCACTGGGGCCTTCGGTGGAGCTCCCTATGGGGCCACGAAGCGCTGTACTGAACGGGGGGACGCATGTGGACCGTGGCACTGGGGCCTTCGGTGGAGCCCCCTATGGGGCCACGAAGCGCTGTACTGAGTGGGGGGGACGCATGTGGACGGTGGCACTGGGGCCTTCGGTGGAGCTCCCTATGGGGCCACGAAGCTTTGTACTGAGTGGGGGGACGCATGTGGACGGTGGCACTGGGGCCTTCGGTGGAGCTCCCTATGGGGCCACGAAGCGCTGCACTGAGCGGGGGGGGCGCATGCGGACGGTGGCACTGGGGCCTTCGGCGGAGCTCCCTACGGGGCCACGAAACGCTGTACTGAGTGGGGGGGACGCATGTGGACGGTGGCACTGGGGCCTTCGGTGGAGCTCCCTATGGGGCCACGAAACGCTGTACTGAGTGGGGGACGCATGTGGACCGTGGCACTGGGGCCTTCGGTGGAGCCCCCTATGGGGCCACGAAGCGCTGTACTGAGTGGGGGGGACGCATGTGGACGGTGGCACTGGGGCCTTCGGTGGAGCTCCCTATGGGCTACGAAACGCTGTACTTGGTGGTGTAAACGCAGGGAGGAAGGAGGAGGAGGAGGAGGAGGAGGAGAAGGAGGAGGAGGAGAACGCGGGGACCGTCTCTTCAAAACGAGGACCCAACACCACAGGATGGTTGGGAAAAATGTTTGAGCATTTTTTTGTTCGTCCAAAGTACACATGTAGGAGGACACGCCCGACCTAAGCTGGTCCAGGACCCCTTTTCCTCAGGACCCGTTCCCTGACATGCGCCGATGTGGTTCTGTGGAGTCCGCGGTTCCATGCGGTCCCGATCGCTTCAGGGTGGGCTTTCTCCCCAGACCTGTTGTTGATGGCGGTCCGAGCTCGGCCCTCAGGAGGCCGAAATCAAGGAGCAAAGCCGGTTGGAAGAATCGTACCGTTGGTTAGCTGTCGCGCTGAAGACCGCTGAAGACCACGGGAAAACCACCGAAGACCGCGGGAAACCGCCGAAGACCGCCAGAAACCGCCGCGAAGTTCGCCGAAGGACCGCCTGGGGCAGACGGGCAACAAGGGGTCCATGGTCGAATGCGTAGCGTTGGAGGTCTGCGTTTCTTTCATGCCTTGAGGTGATGCTGGGCTACCTTCCGGCGCAACCGCGTTCGGAGTGGCCATCGATCGAGGCGGAGAGGAGGGCCAGCTACGCCCGCTGGAAGGCTGACCTCGTCGCCGTCTCCGAGTCGTTCCGCGTCGACGTGCGGGGGGTGCAGGGCCAGCAGGTCGCGGACAGCCTGAGCCTGCTGCAGCAGATCCAGAAGGACGTCCACCGCACGCAGCCCCTGGTGGAGTTTTTCCAGAGGCCCTCGGAGGGG